TGTGGTCCTCACCTAACCTCTTGCTCTCCACTTGACACTTGTTGTTTGTTGATTCACTTGCATTTTAATGTGTTTTTGGATTAAAATAAATTGAATAAAGTGCATTTTAACCAACTCTCCCACATTGATGGAAGATTAGAATTCAAGGCTTCCTTCCCTATAAATACCCATCATTTGGGATTAAGAAGGGACACTTGAGTTGAGAATTTTAAGGAGATCTCCAAGAAGAGAATACCTTAATTCTGATACTCTAAGTTCTTGGTCTACCCCGACTAACCTTCGGGGTAGGGACCGTTCAGTTGGGTCTCGAGGGTGTGAGCCCTCGGAGACTCACGCGCTTGCGGAGCTAGCGCTTTCAAGTACGAGCTCCTAGAGAGAGCAAAGCACACGTCAAGGGTAAGATCGTCTTTTCTCCTTCCTTGTTAATTAATTATGTGATTATTAATTAATATGCATGTTTAGTTACATTAATTTGTGTGCAGGTCTTGGGAGGGTTTCATTCCGCGTAGTGTCGGACACTACGAAACCCAACAATATGGTGATCAACAATAATAATATGATCAACATTAACATTAAAAGCAATTCAACCATAATAATGTTAGTTAAATCAAATCATAATAATAACCCTAATCATGATACTAGCAATAAGGATAAAAATAAGAGTAATTAAGTAAATAAATTACTTACATTCTACGCTTCTTTAAATTGCTACATCGCGAATAAATTGTTAGTAACTTCAGTAAATATATAAATCAAATTGAAATTAAATTAAATAAAAGTTGAATTGATTTGGTTCAAACCCTCAATTGGTTTTACCTTTCACGCTTTGGTTTAAGTATGGAAGTTCGGGTGTTGTATGGACTCCAAGGAGTTCTTAAGGGAGGAATGGCGTAATTAGGAAAATTGGTTTAAGGCTTAAAATATGAGAGAGAGAGAGAGAGAGAGATTAGAATGTGTGGTGCCCCGAAACTGTGAAATCAGCTTCGTATTTATAAATGAAATAATAGGGGTGAGGTATGGAACCCTAGAAATGAGGCACCGCGAAGGAATAAATTACCATGACACGACAGAGTTGCTGTGGCACATTAGCAATTGTCGTGGCGCAGCACAATTGCAGTGGCACGACAAAGCTGACAAGTTAATTTTATCAGTTTAAAAGTCAAAACGGGTTAAAAGATAAAGACGGGTCATTAAAAATTGTCGTGGCACGACAATGTTTGGTGTGGCACGGCAATGTCTGTCGTGGCACAGTAGCTTTTGCCATGGTGCAGCAGTTTTGCCGTGGCAAAACAGTTGATTTTTCTGATATTCTGTTTAAAATTCGTTTTTATCTTTTATTTTACATTAAGTGCGAGATAATTAAGCGTCGTTTATGCTATTCCGGAATTAATTTGGTTTAAGGGATTTAATATTTATCAATCAGGCTCAATTAATAGATACAATGAAATGAATTAAAAAGGTTTGGGCTAGAATGAGGATTGGACAGAGTTTGAATAAATACTTAGAGTTAAAATGTGGACTGATTCGAATTCTGTGTTTGATTTAAAAAGGATGTTAAGCACTCCCGAGATTAAATACTCGATCCGGCCAATATTGACGGTGAAAGGTTGTTCATCATCGAGTTTGGTTTTGGGGAGACATATTGACAAGCGCACTTTAGGCGCCCTTTAGAGCATATTTTAGGATGATTTTGGATGTATTTGGGGCCGTTTTGGCCGATTATTACCTTGTTATGCTTACGTCCCCCATATTACGTGCTTCACGGGTTTTTGGTTTGTTTTTGATGTGTTTTCAGGTAATATCAACCGAGTTTAGTCGGATCCCGAGCCCTTGATGCGTAACCGAGCTAGCCTTGACCGAAGTCCGAGGAGCTAGGGAAGTTCAAGTGTCGTGCATTGATTACATAGCACAGGCAGCACGACCGTGTTACCATAGGCACACCCGTGCTGGCCTATGAGCAAGCAGCCCCAGGCAAGGCAGCACGACCGTGCAAGCCAATAGCACGGTCGTGTCAGTATCCACGCACCAGCACGGCCGTGCAGGACATTAACACGGTCGTGCCAGATGTTGCTCGTGCCCGCGTCAGCTTCAGTAAGAGCCTCGTGCTAGAGCATATTCAGCACGGCCGTGTCATTTTTAGCACGGTCGTGCCAGGCATCTGCACGGCCGTGCCATATATAGCACGGCCGTGCCAAATTGAAGAAGAAATCCGGTTTAGCTACTGACAAGCTAGCACGGCCGTGCCAAATATAGCACGGCCGTGCTGATCTAGGGTTAACCGCGCACTTGACTTCTGCGAATTAGAAGGCGTATATAAGGCCCGACTTTAAGGGGCGTTTTTAGACAGTTTTAGAGATAGTTTTTTGAGAGCGCTTTTTAGAGAGTTATTGGAGAACGTTCTTGGTATTAGAGATTCATTAGTTTTCTTAGAGATTATTCTAGCGATTTTAGTTTTCTTGGATTGATTTGAAGCAAGATTTGTGAAGATTCTTTGTATTATTCATTGACGACGGATATCAAGGTTCTGAACTTTTCCATTGATTCGCATCAATACAATTGGTATTATTCATTCTTGTTTATTAATCAAGCTTTATTATCCCTTAATCAGAATTCATGTTTATATCTATTATGCTTTTGGAATTCATTATTGCTTTGATTATGAATATGTGTGAGTAGTTTCCTAGCTAGGGTTTCTAGATGAAACCCGGCCTAGGTAATCTATGTAATTGAGGATTGGTTTTGATAAACGGATTGTGATTAAACTGATTATATGCGATTGCATGTTAATTCATTATAATAGGAGTAGCTAACCTAGAGTCTTGAATTTGATTGCATGTTATTCTTGGTTTGAACAAGAGATTGTGAATTTAGTATTTCATTATTGAATGTGGTTTGTTTATGTATCGAGTAATGTTAAGTGCATGAGAAATCCAAGCTTACTATTGCCCGTTGTCTTCCTATCACATGATATTAATCAGACTTATAGTCTTTGCATATCCCGTTTATCTCTGTGATTCCTTGTTGCTTAGTTACCAATGGTTAGGCGGATTCCCGTTCTCCCTAGTGTCTTAGTTTATTGATTTATTCCATTTTATTAGTAGTATTTTAGAACACCATTTTCCATTGATTTTGAACTAGCTTAGGTTTAAGATTGATTTGCAATTACTCTCGTTCCTCGTGGACCGAACCTTTATTTGCCATTGTACTTGGTTATAGGGTGTTCGTATGAGTATTGTTTGATTGAGAGTTAGATTGTAGCGACCGATTTAACCCTTGTCACATATTTAGGTGTCTACAGTTGTGTAGACGATTGTTGGTCATTCATGCCAATACATTGAGAGGACATCCTTTATGCGGATACAACAGCTTGTGTATGACATGCTTAATCTGACAAATTTCCAATACCATAGTTGGCATAAGTGACACCAATCTCTGCTCCTAAAGGAGGTATGTTACCCATTGAAGAGGTTAATGAGTATGTGGTAACTGGTGGAGGCAAGGAGGAAGAAGATGGACCCTGACCATTATGGTTATAGCCTGACTCATAACTAGCTGGCCCTGAACCATTAATTCTCCCTTGAATCCCTTGGAACTGACCGAGGGGGTGGATTTGCATGAGATCTTATCATATTCTCTACTTTAGGGTATCCTAGAGGGACATTAACCCTTTGATATATTTCAGTAATCCCACTACCTAAAGCGGTTAAAACATTTATCAACTTCTCATTAAGTTGGTTATGTTTCTCCACTAAAGGTTCAACCCTTGTAACTACTTTGATTGCTACACTCTTTGATAATGCCACATTAGTAGCGTTCAGTGTATCATTAATATTTAGAATAATCCTATCTACCTGCCAGGTAACCGCTTGTTGGGTAATAGAGTCAAAGTTTCTCAACTCGACCGTTACCACTCTAGTAGTTTCTTCTACCATGACGCGATAATAGTTATCAAATTGCTCTCTATTACTTTCTTTTAGATCTTCCACCAAAACCTTCACGATTTCCACATATTTAGTGTAAATTGTGTTTAGCAAGTGTTTGGTAGGAGATCGGCCCTCTACTCCTTCTAGTACCGATTCATCTTGCCTTTATGTATGAGGCTCGAGGGGTTGACAAGAGTGTGCCATGTGTTCAGTTGGCAGTTGATTTTCTAGATCTTGTTGATCCTTTAAAATAGTCTCAGGGTTGCGTTCAGATGAATTAACATTTTCTTGAGTGTTTCCTTTACGTGCTGAAAGCTTAGGAGTCATGGGAACAAACTTCCAAACTAACAAAGTTAAATGGATTTAGTTTAGGTTCTCCCACTATGGTCGCCAAAAAACTTGTTGAGGTAAATATTGTTATTTACCAACAAATTAAATACTCTATCTTGTTCTAGAGTATTAGGGGGCTGCCTCTCGAGTTACCGGTTTCAAATATTGATAACCTTAACGTAGAAACAAAACAATAAGGAAGCTTTCCCAGTAAAACAAGTTAGATTGCTCAAAAACACGATTAGATAAATATATGACAAAAGATACATATTAAGGGATATAGTCAGGTCTACAATTGTACAAGTTGAAGGAGAGGTTACCTCCATAATTATACAATTGGAAAAGACGAACGATCTTCAATACATGCTACGTGGTAAACTACACTATCGCTTGGCTACTAAGCGAAGGGAAACTACGAAAGCTAAGAAGAAAACTTAAATGATATGAAATGCTTGTTGTTAGATTGATTTGCTGATATCTTCATTTAATCCTTGCACTTCTATTTATAGGCGAAATGGAGCGATTATGGCTGACTCCCATAACTGTTGTACGGTTATACTTCTTGGCGCCAACACTTCTTTGAAAATTAAAATCATCTACTAGGCTCCTAAACTAACCTCTATGTTATTGGGCCTCTAAGTGATATCAACCCAATTGATTTTATGTCTTGACCAATTCAACCTAAAGACTTTTTACTGACTCTAGAAACCTCTTAACTCGATCAAAGTCAAAAAAGTCAAACAAAAGTCAAAAATCTGATTTTTTTGATGTAACAAAGGTTCTCAAAGTACCTCCTTCAGATACAGGTTAAACAAAGCAATGATAACCCCTACCATTGCTAAGCGAAACAAAGACTTAAAAATACAATTAACCAATGTTAATTCTAAACATTCCTCCGTCTTTCCAAAACGGAGATTGCAATCCTCAAACAAAACAACGTAACATACTCCTCACCACTTATCTGAAAAGATATTAAAAAAAAAAAAAATTGCGCAAAAGGAGGATCTTGTAAACTAAGACCCCCGTTGGCGTCTTCCATCTTCAAAGGTCCTAAAGTAAAACGCGAGGAATTACTCACTTTAAGACCAAAACCCCAAATAGAGTAGTCTTACCAACTTCATCTAAACTAAGACAAGAGGAGTTAAACAAACGTCTATATGACTTGTCTTCCTGCAAACTACCTACTTCCCCAAACAACCAGGGAGGCCAATCAGCCCAACCCCCAAGACTTAGAACTACTACCTCCGTTCGCTTTGACAGATGCACAAGCCAAAGTAACCACACTAAAACGAAGTTATAAACCCAAACAAGAAAAAGACAATCACCACCAAACCTCAACAAAGAAACCCTTTCCACAAAATCCACTACTAGCAAACAAGATATGGAAAGGAATTCAATTATTAGACACAAAGAAAGCAAACAAGCTATGAAATTGAGAGTCACTGGAAGAAGAGTACCATAAAGAACTACCTCACCGTCGGAATCGAAACCTAACGCAAACAGCAGCCTTAAAAGACCAACGCGAGAAGATCCCTCACCGAAACCCAACCTTGGATTAAGAGAGAAAACCCTAGCCTTAACTTCACCCTTACCGCCGGGAACACGATTAACGAATTTTCTTTTGACGGTGGCGTTAAGGATAACCTTGGCTTCTTGTTTTGTTGGATAATCGGAACCTCACCAACCCCCTAACCAACCTCCGATGGTATAAAAGGAAAACAAGTACTTCAATCTTCCTATTTTATTGTGCAAAAATACCAAAGAAAACACAGAAAAATAAAGGAACTGTAGAGAAGAGGACTCACCGGCGACGGCAGAAGATAAAACGCCAGTCGCCGACGAGCAAGAGAAGCGGTGGGAAAGGTGGTTGTGAAGCGGTGGATGGGCTAAGAACAGAACCTTTCCTAACCCACCTTTCCGATGGAATACGAAGTAAAAGTTATAAGATGAATTTTAGTACAATAAAAATAAACAGTCAAATAAAATGAATATTTAGTACATTACAATTGGACATGATATAATTATAAAAATGAACAAGAATATTCAATTTTATGCTTTCTTCTTGCAATTGTGTCATTTTTTGTGATAGATGATAAGATTAGTTAAGAATTTTTTTCACTTTTTCTATGGGCTTTAACTTATGGTTTTGAATTTAATAGTTTAGTTTTGCGGATTATGTTTATGGTCTAATTGATTTAAAAGTAGATTATTATTTGGTTTTCGTCTCTAGATATGTTTTGTTAGTTTCATTTTCTTCTCTAGATTTGTTTTGTTTGTAAAAAACAAAAATGGTCAATTCCAATAATACTTAACTAAGCTTGCTAACAATATCATGATTCTTTTAATGCTGTCAACGAGAAAGTATAATTATTCTTGTAATGTTGTCACTATAAGAAGCTAGATCGACTCCAGTTCGCAATTCAAGTGTCATTGAAATGAACTTTCACCATTGCAACATTGTTCATGCGTCACAAGTCCATGCATCATAAAAATAATCCATGGTCACATAAACTATAGCTTATACAACAATTAAGATTTGAAATAAATGAAATGAAGCAACTTCCAAATTATCATAAATCACATGATTCACATGGCATCAAGAACCTGTTTACATGATCATGTTGAATTTACACCAATGATGATGAACACCAATTTTGTTAGTACTAAATCTTAATGGTGTTTCTGCACATCAAAGAGGTAACAATAGCACCCTCAACTCTTTCCCTTTCCTCATTGCCTCATAGTCTCAAACAATGTGGACAATAGGGGATTCTCGAGGAGGGTAGTTTCGTAATTATATCCCTTATCATTGAACTATCATTTTCCCAATCATGTATTGGGCTGTTGAATGGGCCTAACACACTTTGGGTGGACCTCAAACCCGCAATCAAGACACTGATAGGCCCAACCCGAGCCCTGCTCATCACAATCACAACAGATAAAAGGCCCACCACCAGTACGTTCAGAAACCAAATTAAGCTCATGTTGATGCTTTGCATGAAATGCTGATTTAGGCAAACTCTTAGCCTCTTCATCCGTTTGCTTCTCTAAAGACTCCAATCTTGCGTCAGTGAAAGGGTAAGCATTTTCCTGGTATAAATTAATCAGATACCTTCCTTGTTTGGTCACGGTTTTACCATCCGGACCTAAGATGACCAAGCACGGGATCTCTCTCACGTCGAAATGTTTAGCAAGGTCCTTAGAGGTGCTGTCACGAAAGGGTATCGCCAACCATGGCATTCTTCCAAAATAAGAGCGAAAGGATGCTTCATCGCGATCACTTGATACGAACACTATCTCGAAGTCTTCCTCTTTTGGTAGGTTTTGCTTTATCTTTTGGTAGATTAAGATTAGCTTTGGGATAAATTTGACACAAGGTACGCACCATTGTGCTGAAAAGTATAGTCCTATTGTTTTGCCTTGCAAAGATGTCACCGGTACCTAAAATATATCAAAGAATCCAAATTTAAATTTAAAATCTTGTACAAGATACACTCTTTGATTAAGTCCTACTTTGTAATTTACTAACATAGAAAATCTTTATGTTTCATACTAGTACATAGTTTATGTACCATTGTACTTCATTTCTTTTTATTATTTATGGTCCTATGATTATAAGAAAAATGCATATTACTTCTTTTCCAATCACATAAAATATAGGGTAACGCTAACTGCTATTGGCTTATACTCCGTATGTATTTGATATAGTTTTATGTTACTACATGCATTTGCTTTAGCTAGCATAAGTATCTGGTTCTAATTCTATGTCATATCATACTCCCTTTGTCCGAACTCCACTCACTTTTTTAGAAAGTGTTAAAATGATATACCTATTGTATCTAGACACGGAGGATATATTCTTATTCAATACTAATGAGAATGGCATGTATCACACTCTAGATTAAAATTCAATTATCTTAGATTTTCATCAATAATGGTTTGCTAACAAAGGCAAAGGCAAAAGAGTGATATACTTACCTGGTGAGACAAAGGATCGTTGCTCAAAAGATAGTCTCTATCATGATTAGTTAACAAATTAACCAACGTCTGGTTCTCTTCCTTCTCTTTCTGTTCCTTCAACAATATCTCTAACCTCTCCTTAGTAAAAGGAAATGCTTCGATTCCATACCGATAGATAAGTTCAACTCCATCACGCATCGTAACATCATCTACCTCATAATTAGGCTGCAGGAATACTAAACAAGGCATAGCTTCCACATTGAAACTTTGATTTAGGGCTCTTTTTGTCTCCAAATCTGAAAATGGCACCGAAAGCCAAGGCATGGAAGCGCGATAATTGTTAAATGCGTCAATATCTTCATCAGAGGATACCAAAACGATCTCTAAATCACACCCTTGGCTCTTAAGCTGCTCGTAAACATCAATTAGAAGTTCGTTGAACTTTCGACAAGGAGCAAACCAATTGGCCGAGAAGTAGATTCCTACTACCTTGCCTTGAAGCTCAGATATTTTCACCTATTATAGCAAATATAATTGGAGTATAGCATTATGATCTGAAAAATATTAAAAGAACTCTTAAATCATAGACATAACAATAAGTATAGCAATCAAAATTTTTTGTATGTAACATAACAATAAGTATATATAGCAATCAAAATGGTTTGCACGTACTAATGTACATACTCTTAAGAATTGAAATATCCTACATTTCAAGATCCCTTCAACACAATGGCTTTTGCATGATTTACATACAAATTTTGACCACAAATTTTCTTACTAATCAACAAGTAACACATGTAATTATGATCAAATCTTTATTGTTATTCAAAATACAAAATTATTAATATTAATGGTCAAATTAAGTTGTGCATTAGCAATAGCATTAGTCAAAGTGTTGCAAGTTTTTGAAAACAGAGGCAATAAAAAATGACCTATAGTAACAAGATACTTTCTTCATACAACTTTCACAGTTTCACCTAAACATCAAGCATTCAAGATTTCAAGCATTGTATGATTATTGACATAGCACAAGTAATCACCTATCAACCAACAAATCTGTAAACATAAAGTTGATCATTTAAAGAGTATTGTTGTTAACTCCACATAAAGTGAGGTATAAGGCCCCATATCTTAGACATATTCTAGCTAATTTGTTGTACCCCATAAAATGGGAAGGCATCGCAATGAATTAAGCACCAAGCCAAATAGGGTGGGTGGTCCCAAAATTCATGCGTATATATGACATACAAAACTTACTAATTGGGATTTGATTGTTTTATATACTCATCACTTTTGTATCACACTACCAATAAACCAATGAATTCATTTAACTTAGATGTATCATATCATTTCATGTAGAATATGACATTCTAAACAATTATTAATAGACCTTCTGTTGCACTGTACATAACCTCCTTATTGGTGCTAAATCTTTAATTTGTTGCAATATTCCATTTTAATTATTTGGGTAACAATAGAGAATCTTAATTGCTGAAGTAAAGTAACATTCCTTCTGTCCCTTTTTGTTTGCTTTATTCATCTTTTATTACTTATGAAATGTGTTAATGTGTATAAAAATAAGAGAAAAGTAGAGATGAGTTGTGGGGACATTGTTACTTAAACACACAACGCAATTTAAGTAAGGAAAAAGCTTCATGAGTAAAATTATAGAAACAAAAGGAATATAATTGTTTAAAGCCCTTCTCAAATGTATAATCCTATCATAGAGAGCCCCTATATCTCTCAAAACCGCCCCTACTATACATGTATGTGATATACGAAGTATCTCAAACAATGTACAAAGCCCCTAGTGAGTAAATCAAGTACTTAATCTCATAATCCATTGGATAAGACTCATCATCCCTATGTGTATAGTAAATTAGTAATGTAACTTTATCCTCAAAGCACAACAATTACCTAACAACATTGGGTTGAAGATATCACGTTTTTCCCTTAACAGACCATCAGAGATATATGAATCAACCCTATTTTCACACCCTCGCCGCCCACCCTTACCCGGTCCCCGCCCACCCCCCTTCCCCAGAAATTAAAAAAAAAAAAAAAAAAACATTATTTAAGATGACACACCTCTCTAAATATGATGCTTAGTTATCATAATTGCATTGGATTATATTCTACTTGGTACCTTTGAGACCTAAAATCTTATAGAAATAGATAAGATCATATGAATTAAGTACACATGCAATGTGGGACAAATTCTGGTAGCTAGTAATCCTCAAGTACCATTTTATCATATTTGTTCAAACAACACAATCCAAAAAGCAAAATTTTACAGGTAAAGCATATTTCTAAACGAGTGATAAAAAGCAATAAAGCAGACGTCTCTCTATGGTACACGTGTTACGTACTAGTTGTACCGTACCATTAATTCATTAGTAGTGGTGGCAACACCTTGTTTGGCTTGCCTGGACCTGAAAATGACTTCCTCACTCTGAACAGAAAATCACACAAATGGAGATAAAAGTTATGTATGTGCATCTATATACTATGGCAATTGCCAATTGGTTAGACGTTAGGACAATATGACACTAATACATTATCATTTAATAATCTAAGTTTAATTAGCATACACACTCCCCGTTATGTCTAGACTTGGTTAATTTGACACTTATTTATATTCTATCATCCTATGAAATGCATGAGACATCTTAAACTTGGATGTGGATAGGTACACCAGATTGTCTGACATTCCTATTTTTTTTTTTCATGTCTCTAACAAATAACTTCGAAAACAAAAATTTAAATAATGTAAGGTATATGTATGTGATATATCTCAAACAATGTACAAAGCCCCCTGTTAGGTATACCCAATTGTCTGACAATCCTAGTGTCGACACTTAATTTATTCAATAACCAATCGCTTAATGCGCTCGTTTTGAACTTCACCCCTTATGAATGATCTACAACCTTACAATGATCATCAGATTCAAAATTTTCTAAGACCCTTACTAGCTTAAGTTAGTTGTATCTAATTCAATACGAAATTATGAGTGTTTAATTTCACAAGATAATAAAATCCCTCCATCCAAAATTTGATGTAACACAGTATAGATATAGTTATGCTGACAATAAATTATTAGACTTCCCAAGAGTCCCTACACTTTAGTAATGGACAAATAACTGAAATTTATAATAATCTTCATATAAGTTTAAAAAATATGATAATTGGATATTTTCACCAATAAAAAACAAATATAGTAATAATTGAATCTGAACAAATTAATGTAGTACAAGCCACTGTGTACGTGTTGTTTTTGTAGAAATAGCAATATTATAATCTTCAGTAATTATGATTGGTTATAAAGATTAAATAATTTTTCGTATCGTTTAGCCTAAATCCAAACCGAACACCAAATGAACACCCTTATTCCGTGTCTCACCACACTAGCAAACTACTAGCATGTATTCAAAATTCAAACTACTTCTAGTACTCCGTACTAGATTACAATCTTACATTTAAATTTTCTAGGTAAATTTAGCCTAGCTCTAACATATATTTTTATAAATCAACGTGACAATCAAACTTCAAAAGTAAACTTTTTTTGGTTTTTTGACGGGAACTTCAAAAGTAACCTTATTAGATAAAAATCTTAAGAAAGTGTAATTGTACTCCATCCATCCAAAAAAGCATCCACCTTTATTTTCATAATAATTATTAACAGAATTTAGCCACTTACCGTACCGAGTATGATACTTGTATTTTTTTTTCCCCCCTAAGAAATGCCCTATTAAATCGTAAATACAATGAAATTATGGTACGATATAAGTTGATTATTAGGTGTATACGATGTACAAGCCTTAAACAAAACAACTCAACATGCCTTATTTATTTTATTTAAAAGTCTTAAGTTGCAATGACCTATATGTCCAACTGTCTCCTTGAACCGCAACTAAAATCTTACTTCACTAAGAAACTTCGTTAAAATTCTATTCCTACGTAAGGAGTACCATATTTGTCGTCATTTATCTACACTAGTAATTTTTCCCTTCAACTATTATCTCACTATTCTTCTTGTAAATATGTTTGATTGCACAAATTGGCTCAAGAACGCCAAAACATTTATGCTTAATTGAGTATATAATTAATTTAAATTGTAAAAACATAGGGCAAAATCTTACCAAAAATTAAGACAGAATAATTTTTAAAAAGAAATTTACCAAACATTTGTAATTATAAGTTACTTGGTAATTAATTTTTCTTTCCACGAAAATATTTTTGTATCATATATAGATCAAACTCAAACCGCATCAAAGAAGCTTTTTTTTTAGAAAATCAGCAACAACAAAAAAAAAAAAAAAAAATTAAATTCAAACACACAAGGATTATATTTTTTTTGAAAAAAAAAATGAGTATATATATCCATATTAACTTTCTCATTTCGGGGATAACTCATTTGAGCAAACATCTATGCATAGTTAAATCTCAACCCTCACAGTTTCTTGGTTGGATGTTTATAAGTCCATAGATGAATCTAGAGAGTTTTTAAGGAACGTATATTCCCATATAGTTTTTGTCTTGACTATTAATTTGAAATTTATTTTGTAAAAAATATTGATAATCATTCTGCTAAACCCTAATCCCTAAATCACAAAACAAATCGTTGCACCTTCAAAAAGAGGAGTATATTTGTTTTGGGAGTAAACAACTTTTAATCATTCAAACAACTATTCTATAATTTCCATATCATATTTATAATTTCACCCAAACACATAATCTAAAAAAAATAACACTTGTAATAAATTGTTAAGGAGCCTATTATTTGTGACGGAATTTGATTTCAAGTATTGGATATCAAAACCCGAGAACGGAATAATGAACCAAAAGCTATGAAGAGCAAATAAAAAAAGTGTATTCAAATAAATAAATAAGAAGGACAAACCTGGGTATCATCAGAAGTGAGGAGAAAATCACGATCTTTGGTAGCAAAAAGAGATGATAATCTTGAACAACTTATTCCATTATTATTATTATCAGCAACAACAATATTCATTTCATTACTTCTTTCTCTCTCTAATTCCATAACCTTGTTTCTCTCTCTACAAAAATAATTAATTAATTTTGATCAGAGTGAGATTTATTTAATCTTGAAGCTTCTACATACATAAACTTTAAAATATAAAAAAAAAAAAAATTAAAAAAAATTAAAGAAAAACGAAGCACATTCTTATAATTTAATTGTACCTGAAAATTTTCTTCAAAATGAATAATAATGGCAATCCTAGTATGCATCACTAACTAACCCCACCATTTATAAAATCACATAACACGTAGCATTCACTGTTTTATACTCTTTCTTTCTCTCTCCTATGATTTTATCTTCTGCTTCTCAATCTCTATTGAAATAAGTTTATTCACGACCGTTGATTGGATTGTTATATTTTTTTGAAAGGTGAATTCATTGGTACAATTTGATTATAAATATCTTTATCTAAAATATATTGTATAAAAATACGTAGTATAACAATAGAATCTCTCCTGTCAAAAATTAATAAAAATAAAAAATAGAATCTCTACCTTTTCAAAAGTATGACTAAACATTTATAAATAGAGTTGAGATAATTATGCCTCTTTAAATGACTAATTACATATTTACCCTTATGTTATACTTAGTATTTATTACTTTTATACCTTTTGAATATTGTTGACACGACTATGTGCTTTAATATTTTATTTATTTATTTGTCCTCATTTATATAAATTGCTTAATTTTTCCCCAAACTCTTAAGAATAGTGTGCGAACATTTAAACGCTAAAACTATTTGTTTACTTATCTTATTAATGCTGACAACAACTAAAATTCTGACATAAGATCAAATCAAAAGATTATCTCAACTATAGTTAGCTATGGCGCGCATCACGCCTATAAGCCGCCCTAGTATTAATAAATTATTTATTGAAACGAATCAAACAAGACTCAACATTACTACTCCCTCCGTTTCGCGGTTGCAACAGCAGGCTTGGCTCATGGTTTAAGAAAATTATAGACTAGGCTTATAGGCTTATAATATAAAGTATTGATGGTAAGAGATAAAATTAATTAATAAAAGTAGTGTGGGCGGGGTTGGTAGGAAAGAGAAATAATAAAATATTTGTGAAAGTGCGGTTAGTGAGAGATAGAATTTATAAAATAATGGTGGATCCTTTCCAAATATAGTAGTGTTGCAACTATTATGAAACGGCCGAAAATAAAAAGTGTTGCAACTAATGCGAAACGGAGGAAGTACATTATAATTTATATATTAAGAGTAATTTGAAACATTCTCTCATCTTATAAATAGTGCTAAGATTCTAAATGAAATGAAATGAATGAAAAAAAAAAAAAAAAAAAAAAAAGAGGAAAAGGAATGGACCGAGGGGAGTATTTGCAAAAAAAATTACTCGCCCATAATTTCACCTTATACTCGGACATATACATAAGAATTTTCAAACGGCTTAGATGTAATGGATAATGATCAACGCAACTCTCAAAAGTCAAAAGTGATATTTTTTTGGGGTGTAAACTTTCACTTTGGTGCCTTTAGGCTTGACATAATTTTACTTTGGTGTCATGTAGTTTTAATAATTTCACTTTAAACTTTGATTTACTATAATGCCTTGTGGTTTTCACTTAGGGAGTGTTCTCTTTACTATATCTGAACTTATCTGAATTTAATTAAATTTAATTTATTTGAACTTAATTAAAATTATCTGAACTAATTAAATCTTATTAAATGAACTGGAACTTATTAGACCTTATTAAACTTATTAGAGCATATACATGTTTTT